CTATATTCTATATTACAACTGTGGGCTTTTAAAAATATTTACTTACTAATTCATATGTAAATAAAAATAATAATAATAAACACAATACAAGTTAATACACTTATGAAAAAGTTATTTTTTTGAAAGAAAAATAGCCTTATTTTATATTTCTGCAAATCTCTAAAATGCTTGGGTTACTAGGAGACAGATATTCTCATGTCTGCTTCTGCATTCAATTTGTTGTGATATGTTGCTTTGGTTAAAGGCTTACATGAAAAAAAAAATTAAGCCACACATAGATATGTTGTTGAAGGGAGGGAGGAATATTTTAAAACCTTTTCAAATAATTGTGGATACTCTTTGTTGACACTATGCCACAATTTGATGAGTGGGAGTTTCTTAAAAGTTACTGACAAGTGGAATCTGAAATTATATCTATGAACTTTTAATACTCTTAGATTAAAATCCATTAGTTGGCCTTGTACTTTGAATGGATCCTTTCCTTAAGTATGGTTTTTGTAACATCAAGCTCTGGTCATTTGGGGGGGAAAAAACGGCTCCTCAGTTATGCAGCTCTTCAAAAATGTTGATAAAGTATCAGAAAATCACATTCATTAACATCAACATGAATCTCATCAGAAAAGTCTTAGGAAGCTGTTAAGCTCATAGTGATAGATACCAGTTATCTAAAATTCTAGTTTTCATTTGTAACTGCAGACATTAATATTGCCAAAAATACCATGAATTGTTTCTCTTGAAGTTACAGACTCACTTCATGCCTTTTTTTTTTTTTTTTTTTTTGAGAAATACCCAAGTGCTAGGAACCACCGTTTATCTGTCAGTCAAATTTGCAAATAAGATAATATTCCCTGAAAAAAGCAGCTATCTGAAACGATCTCAGAAGAGATTTTCCCTGAGACAACTAATGGACTTCAGTACGCAGCAGGAATACTTTATATGTTCCTACCATTTTGTTACAAATAAAATTTCAAAATCTTGTACTCAAGGGTCAAGATTTAATAAAGTTAATAATTTTTACTGTTCCATCAAGGACAACCCCCCCCCCCCCCCACTCTCAACCTTACCAGAGGATATGTTTTATTGATTTTTTTTTTTTTTTTTTTTTAGAGAGAGAGAGAGATAAACATTGATGTGAGAGAGAAACATAGATTGGTTGCCTCCCAGTCACACTATGACCAGGGATCAAACCCACAACCTAGGCATGTGCTCTGATGGGGAATTGAACCCACCACCTTTTGACCTTTTGGCGTACAGGACAACACTCCAGCCAACTGAACCACCCTGCCAGGGCAAAGATACTTTTAAATAAGCCTTCCTCCTCCTCCTCCTCCTTCTTCTTCTTCCTCTCTCTCTCTCTCTCTCTCTCTCTCTCTCTCTCTCTCTCTCTCTCTCTCTCTCTCTTCTCTCTCTCAATGAATGGTGTAAAGAAGAGAGTGACTATTAATATATATTTTTGCCCCTGTCTTGATTAGAACTAAGGTACAGCATTTTATTCCCATTGCTTTTGTATCATCAGTGTCAATGTCAACACAGATAAAAGGGCAAATGACATCTTAATGCTATTATGCAAATACCTTTGACCTCAAGGACCTTCCCAGACCACATACCATTCTAGAAGAAGTGTCTACCTCACTCTAGCAATACTTGGGCTAGGATGGAATTCACTTGTGTGAGAATGAGCATTTATGAAACATCTTAGAAATTTTGAGAAAATCTATTTTAATTTCACATTTGAGAGGGGATGAAGATGGGGGTGAAGAGCACTATAATTATTAAGATAAAATTTGCTTTTAAAAGCTTGGGTGTGGGGTGAATCAAATAGAATATTCCAATGTGATGACTACAATCAACAATCATCTAAGTTAATGGCTCATGGATACATGCACCCAGAAGGCACACGTTTCCCAAATTATTTATTCATTCAGTTTTGAAATCTATTGTAGCAACTGCCAGCTATTTATCTCCCTAATATTTTAGGTCAGTCGAACATTAAAATTAGTTTGTGTTCCCCGAACATAGAGCAATTGAGGGTGGAGGCACTGGGGCCCTTGAAGCTTGCTTTGTAGCGGAGAGATACCAAGCTGAGATTTAAAGAGAAATTGTCCTGTCCTTATTTCCATTTTCTATTGTTGTGTACCATTTCAAATTATTTTTTTGGAAAGAGGTAGAGGTATGAATAAATTCAATTTAATAATGCTTTTGGCTGTTGTTAGAACACCTATATAATAAAAAGTTGACAGCGTTTGCTTGCCGGCCCTTAAACGGTCGCAGGAAATGTACTCTACTTTTAGGAAAGGCCTAAAGTGTGTTTTCAGTTACAGTGTACTAAGGTTTATAAAGAGTCACAGCATTCAGGAAAAGGTGGTGGTGTGTCTATGCGAGGTAATAGTCCTCCATCTCCCAGCCAAAGGTACCGGGGGAGAAGGGTGGAGTGTTGCGAGCATTCCGTGTACTGGGTGTTAGGTTTCAAGATCCTACACACTCAGGGCAGCCAGTCTCCTTGGAATGGATGGGCTTGGATTCATCATTCATGTGTTAATTTCAAGTCCAACCCTAGTGACATAGTCAAAGTCATGGCAAACTGAGTTTGATCTGAGTTGAAACATAGTCACCATTTTCAAGTTGAAACATGGGGAGACCTAACTACCGGTTTACTGAAGCCAACATTCAAGGAAGGGTTGGTTTAAGGATGATGCTCCATTTTCAACTTGACTGTTCTGCATTGGTTGTAGATTGAACTCAAGCAGGTGTTTCCATACCTGCTTCGGATGGCATTACTTGTCTTTGGGAAGCTTGATCATTCAAGGGAGTTGTCAGGGAGGGTGTCATCCTGAGATTTTTATTATTTAATAAAAAAAAAAATCTTTTGGGAGATACAACACTTTTAAGCTTCTCTAATAAAAGTGTGCAATATAAAGCCTTGCTGTTATTTTTTGAAGGGGCACAATAGGGCTTTCACCCCCGTGGCTGTCTTTAACGCCATTTGAGTTGTGAGAATTAAGTCAGAACTTCAAAGAGACATTAGCTCTCCATGTAAGCATATGTGTCGTTTTAATGTTTTGTACATTCCCCGTACCTTCTTTGATAAAAAAAAGTCTATTTTAAAATTGGTAAAAAAAAATAATTAACATAATGAGATGATGAGTCAGAGTTTTAAAAAAGCTAAAAAGGGAAGACATACTTAAACAATGCACCTTTCTATTTTTTTGTAGCTACATCTGACTCATGACATATAATGTATTCTGCTTAAGTTCAAAGTTTTCTCTTACAAAGAGTTTTATGAAACAACTCTTCTTCAGACCATTTTTGCTTCAATTATAGTAGCAGGTTTTTGGAGTTTAAATAATTAACAACCTCTGAGTGAACTTTTATCCAAACAACTCCAAGTCACAAAGAGAACAGTCCTCTTCCACCAAGTGCCTTTTGTGCTAGAGTGAGACCCATCCTATTCTATTTTTCCCCTTCATGTCTCTCTTTGAAGGAAGATGTGTGATTTGTAAAGTAATGAAAATATGTATCAGTTAATGAAAACGGCTATGTGGGGCTCCTCATGCAAACTGGAATTGCTTTAGTGTAAGCTTCCTATACCTGGATTACAACAGGGAAAAAGGTAAATTTCAGAAGTCAAAATTGCTGTGTGCACTGTAGGAATATCATGTGTAAGTTAAGCCAACCATCAGGGGTGACCTAATCTTAACCCCCCCTCCCCCGCAACCACCCTTTGTCAAGAAGCTGCAATTGTCATTTAGGCAGCATTTTTTTTCTTTTTTCTTTTTTTTTCAGTTTTAACTCCACTGGGTACTCCACAACGGGGCACTCATTCCATCATCCGACTTATTGATTTCATCATATGCTATCTTTTTTTAGTTTGTTTTTTTTTTAACATTATTTTTATTAGACTGTATTTGTTTTTGTTTTTTAAGAGTATATGGGAGACTGTCACCTCCAGATGTTTAAGATGATGGGGCAAGAGACCCATTCTTTTTAAGGCACAACACCCTGATGCATTTTGTGCAGAAGAACGTGTAGTTTAATAAACAAAAGAAAGTTGAGAGGCACATCTATTTCCTTTAAAAAAAAAAAATCAGTAAGGATAATAATGCAGCAGCAATCATTTCAAGAGTGAGGGGAAAAAACTTTCCCCCCCACCACCACCCCCCCCCCTAGATCTGGCGGCTAGCGGGATACATTCGAAGAACTCCATCCCACCCCCGCGCTCGCGTCCCCCCACGCTCTCCACGCACACAGAGCGGCGGCTGCAAATCCCGGGCTGAGTCCGCCCTGGGAGCCTTAGGGCACCTTCCTCTTTGCAGCGTGTGTGTGTGTGTGTGTGTGTGTGTGTGTGTGTGTGTGTGTGTGTGTCTAGCTCTCTCGCTCTTTCCCTCCGTCTGTGCCTCCGTGTGTGTGTGAGTGTGTGTGTGTGTGACAGAGAAAGAGAGAGAGAGCGCGCGCGAGAGGAGAGAGAGCGAGGGAGAGAGAGAGAGAGAGAGGAGAGCGAGCTGTGAGCTGTGCTGCCGCCGCCGCTGCCCTTTGATCCCGACATTAGTGTTAGGGGCTCGGAGACACGGCGCGGCCATAGACACCGCCGCACCGGCGCTCGCCTATTCATCCCTCCCATCACACGCGCCGGCTCGGGACACACTCACACTCACACCTACCGGGTCCGTTTCCATTGAAGACTATTAACGCTCGGGGGACAAGCCAGGTGCACGGCCAAAAAAAAAAAAAAAAAAAAAAATTAATTTAAAAAAAAAAAAGAAAGAAAGGAAAGGAAAAGGAAAGAAAAAAAAAAGAGAAGAAAACCCCTCTTCTGGCTCCAGGAAACAAGCTTCAACCCATTGTACACACCGGAGAGAAGGGGGTTCCCCCCTGGCCCGCCCGCCCGCCCGCGCCCCCCCAGCCACCTCCCCGCTCCTGCCAGTGTGTCTGCCTCTCGGCCCCCACGGGGGTTTCTGTGATCTCCCATTACCCGAGGAGGAGAATGTGAGAAAAGGGGGAAAATGCCCAGGAGGAAGCAGGAGCAGCCCAAGCGCCTTCCCTCACGTAAGTCATCCCTTCCCCGCCGCCTCCCGGGCTGTCCCCCGGCCCCGCTCCCCTCGGCCTGCGCCGCGGCCCCCGGCCTTAGTTTAGGGTTACAGAGGTGAAGCCGACAAAGACACGGCCCGGGTGACTCCTCGCCGAGGTCTGTGCCGAGGCAGCCATGTTGGTGATGATCAGCCCCGTGCCCTTTCCATTCTCTCTCTCTCTCCTCTCTTTCTTTCTTTCTCTCGGCCCCCCTCTTTTTTTTTTTTTTTTTTCCTTGCGATCGAGCGTTTCCCCCCTTCCCTCCCCTCCCCCTCCCCACTCCGGGTTGCTGGGGGAGGGGGCCGGCGGCGGCGGCGGAGGAGGGGGCAGTGTGGATGCCGGGTTTTGTGTGTGTGTGTTTTAATCAATCGGGGGGTGGAGGGGAGGTGGGAGAGGTTGGAATCTTAAAAAAAAAAAAAAAAAATCCCCGGTGGATCGCGGAGGGTGCGGGGTCGGGGTGCGCGGAGGGCCGTGACATGGCGTTTGGGGGTGGCCGGGGCGAGGGCGCGCGGCGGGTGCGGGATCCGGGGAGGGAGGTCCGGCTCCGGCTAAAGGTTGCGCCGGGCGGGTCGGCCCCGGAGCCGGCGGCGGCGGCGGCGGCTGGGGCAGGAGCCGGAGGAGGCGGAGGTGGAGGCGGCGGCGGCAGCGGAGGGGGGTCGGGGGCGGGCGAGGCGGGAGCGGCCGGGGAGGGAGTGGGGGGCCCCGCGCACACACACAGTCCACGCGCGCCGCGGGGTGGCCGGTCCCACGGCGCCGGGGCGCGGGGCGGGGGTCCGGGCGCGGGGCGAGGCCGGGCCGCGGCGGGCGGATGTGGGGTGCGGGAGCCGCGCCGAGGCGGAGGCAGGAGGCAGGGCGGCTCGCGGCGCGCGAGGTCCCTGCAGAGCAGAGCGGCGGGGAGGGGAGGGAGGAGCAGGGCTCCTGGCCGCAATAAAATGCGGGGTCAGTCGGAGCAGACGGAGCCGGGCGCTCGGAGCCCCCCCCTTTCCCCGCGAGCTGTGCAGAGTCCAGGACTAAAGTGCATCGCAGCCCTCCCTCCCCGGCTGCAGCCACACACACGGCAACCGGAGCCTCGCGCCCGCCCGCCGGCGCGCCCGGGCCCCTTCCCCTCCTCCACCCGCGCCCCGGCCCCTCTCCGCCCTTTCTTTGCGAGACTCCTCGAACTTTTCCCCCACTCCCTCCTCTCCAGCCCCCACCCCACCCCCGGCCTCCCTCTCCGCTCCCCGCTCCGAGTGTGCGGAGATGCTGCTAAAGCTAAAAGTGAAGGAGAAAGAAGCGACTAAAAATATCCCCCGGGGCCGCCCGGCTCCTTGAATGCAGGGGGGCGGGGGGCCGGGCGCAGCGCGGGGCGGGGTGACGGGGAGGAGGGGACGCCGGAGGCGCCGGAGGGAGGGGTCGGGGAGACGGAGGGTCAATTTCTCTTCTCTCTCTCTCCCCCCACCCTGCTCCCCTCTGCCGGCGGTTTGGCGCTGCCCGGAGCCCGAGCCTGCAAAACCCGGGCCGGGGGCGGGAGCGGAGCCGGAGCGCCCGCCCGCCCGGGTGTCAGGCCGACGTGGTCGGTCACCTGAAGTTCACGGCGGGTGGGGGAAGGGTTAAGGTTATGGTGTCTCTGGCTCGGGTGGTGTGTGTGTGTGTGTGTGTGTGTGTGTGAGCGTTTCCGCTGCAGACAGGCAGCGCGATCGATCTCCCCCTCGCGAAACAGCCGCGGCGGTGCTGGCCCCGGGGGTAGCGGGGGTGGGGGGGTGCGCGTGTGGCTCGGCCCCGGGTCACCGGGGGCCGCGGCCCAAGTGGCGCGCAAGGGCACTGGCGGGCAGCCCTCTCCGCACACATTCCTCTTTTCTTTCCCCTTCCCGGTACGCTGGCGGCGGCGCCCAGAGCCTGGGTTGTGCTTTTTTCCACCCCCCGCCCCCTTAAAAAAAAATGCCCCTGTGCAAGCCCTTCCTTCGCCTGCCCGCTAGAGGTTCCGAGGATCCGATCACATATGTAATATATGTGCACATAAAGCCGCTCGCCGTGTGTAGGGGAATTCTGAGCGAGGCAGAGGGAAGGCAGGCGCTGCGGCCGGGGAGGGCGAGCCGGGAGGCTCCGCGCTGCGATTCACAGAAAAGTCGCAGCAGTTGGCGGCGGAGTGTGTGTGCGCGCACATGGCCGGCCGGCCCGGGTCCCAGCGCTTTTTTTGGGGGGGGGGGGAGGGGGGGAAGGAGGGGGGAGAGGAGGGGTGCGGAGGGAAGGAGAGGAGGCAGGACTCCCCGCAGGGTCGGGAGTGGGGGATGCAGAGGGTGGGGGAGGCTTGCCCTGCTCGGACAAAATGGGCTTCAGTGCTCTCTGCGAACTTGCCCTTAGATGGCAACTTTGGGAGCCGATGAGTTTGTGTGCGGAAGGCCAGGGCGGTGAGGTTATTTGGTCATTTTCCTTTCTTCTCTGTCTCCTCCTGCTTAAGAAGAAGAAGAAAAAAAAAAAATGTTGGCGCGGTTAGAGGCAGGGTAGGCGAGGAGAAGGGATTTATCTGTTCAGGCAGTGACGGAGGAGATGGACCGCCTCCTCTCTGTGGTGTGCGCGGCGCGGTCGGGCAGCTGCAGCCTGCCCTGCTGGTGACCTTGACCCTGACCTCCTGCAACTACCCTTTCCGTCTGAGAGGAAATCCAGGCTCCATTTTAGCTCGTGTGCTTGGACCTCGTCTGCAGAGCTGGTGCCTGGTGATTAAGTTATATTTTAAGAGTGGGCTCTCCCACCCTGTTCTCTAATTGAACACTGTTATGCATGAAAAAAATAAAAATAAAATAAAAGAATAAAAATTATCTCCCTCTTCTAGTCACATAAAGCCACTTTTACTGAAGTAAGAAGCAATTAGCCTCGGAGATACTCTAAATGTCCCTCCCATTTGTAAAGGGAAGCCTGATTTGAGAAGCTTTTTTTCACTTACCTTTGCATTGAATGGATTTTTGTGGGTGTGTGCTGCTTGTTTAAAGCATGCTTTTACACATGCTTTATAAGCAATTTGCATTGGGGCTAAGACACGTTTCTGGGCAAATGGTGTATTTTGCAATTCAGTAACCGAAGGCTTGCTAAGTGCCCATGAGTCTTTGAAGAAACTTGCAGTTTGTGGAGAGGTAACAAATACTGACTTTGGTAAATAGTGTTCATTGTTATTTAATGTAGAAAATAATTGTAGTCCTAAAATCCTGGTTCTAAGTCTAAATTCTTTACTGTTTGCTTATGTATTGTGGAAGAAGGATTTTTCCCAGAGAACTGTTTTGTTTCACAGTTAAAAATTACTTAGTCTGGGGATCAAAGATGTCATCCCAAGGTTTTAAGGAGTTTTCTAAGGGCAGATTTAAAATTTGACCCTAGAAGGACTGATGTGTGTGTCATTTGGAGGGTGGGGGAGGGTTGGAGGGGAAATTAGGCAGGGAAAATTGCTTTTGAAACCCAAGAGCCCTTCTGAGGTAATACAAAAGTGGTGAACAGCCACTGTTGATATAAGGTTTTAAGAATCTAGAGAACCTATAAACACACATTTAAGAAGTTAGAATACAAAAAAAAAAAAAAAAAAAAAAAAAAAAAAAAAAAGAAAGAAAGAAAGAAAGAAAGAAACAAAGTTGTGAAATCGAAATCTCTAGAAAATTTGGAATACTTTCCACTTTATCCCAGGACCCCTGCGTGTCTCTGCACCGCCCATACGTAAGTGTTGCCAATAGACTCTTTCTCCGTGTTGAATCTATTTTCCTGTTACTAAATCTACGCCAGCCAGGTGCAGTGTGGCTGTACAAAGGCCACTGCCCTACTCCACAGCACAGACACCAGGGAACCTGGAAGTTCCACCCTCGAGTAGATTAGTCCTGGAAGTCCAGACTAGCACTTGGTATTATCTGATACCAAGTCTGGGGTGAGCCTCAGCCCCTGGCACCGAGTCCCAGCAATTCCCCAGGCTGGGCTTCGGCCTGCTAAGGTTTCCTAGCTCCTTCTGTTCCACTGAACACCCAGGGGACTGTTCAGAACTGAATTAGCTTTGGGGATGGGCGAGCCTTTAACCTGACACTACTAACCTAAGTGTTAGGTTTCTGATTTAAAATTCTACACAGTCATTTCCTCCTGGGCCTTTGAGAGAGAGAGAGAGAGAGAGAGAGAGAGAGAGAGAGAGAGAGAGAAGTTATATGAGCCTCTTACATATGCAGAAAAACAAAAAGTCCTGTCTTTTAGAGTTGAATGGTGATCCTACTGGCTACAAATAAAAAAGAAGTTATACACTAGCTTTTGGAGGTGACCCCCAACAAAGGTTGTTAAACCTAAATTATTTTGGAGAAGTGGCTTAAAAAGCCTTTATTTCTTGGCCTAGAGTTGTCATTATCATTTTGGGATTTAACTGTGACTCTGCTGCTGCTGTTGATGGCTCTTTTATAAAAATTCTTTCCATTCACAGGGCCCAATGCTATGTCCAAAAACTATCCTAGAGGTCCTTGGAGCTATTCCAGGTGCTTATCTTTCACAGAATCCCAAACTGCATAGCTTGAACATGTCAGCCTAAGAAAGAGGACCAGAGAGAAGCTGATACTATCTGTGACTTTTGGCCGGGCTGGGGCTCAGTGCATTAATTACAAGGGGGACCACAAACTGAGGGAAAGGGTAAAGAAGGGCTTTCTCCTGTGTGGGTTGCATCTGTAAACCCCTTTTCCGTTGATGCCATCTGCCCTTTCAAGTTTTCCTCATTGGCTTCAACTTACCAGAAATGTGTATGAGTTCACATCCCACTCTGTTTACCAGTGGAAATCAGCCTGATGCCGTGCTCAAGGGGACGCACAAGGAAAAGTTAATAACACGGCTGTTTTGTTTATCTAGTATTTTTATTGTTTACTCTGTTGTGGGTCAAGACCAGAACAGGTTATTGTGCTTTTCTTTAACAAAACTTTTAAAATTCTCCATTGCTTTCTAGTAAAATTGGGGAGCAAAATGACAGGCGAGCAACCGGATCCCTTGTTTTTTAT